GTTGACTCAAAGGTGTCCACTCTGCAACCACACAAGCAAACCAATGCCGCTGCTGTGCATCGTCGTGCCTGAGTTGGCCGAGAATGGTAGCCGAACATTGTAAATCCACGTGTCGTGTCTGGTGGGTGCCCGTTGTGGGCGATGAATTGTGAATGTGATTCCGTTTTCTCAATCGCCGATACGGTCAAGAGATTGAGAGCATGACTTGTTACAAACATGTCAAAACCGGTTCTTGTCGAGCCTCCCAGATCCATCGACAATTCTATCCCGATGATGGTGAATCGAGATTCAATATCACAACCAATTTGAAAAGGGCTTAGACTCCTTTGTTGTTTTTGAGCATCTAGTCAGCTGGGAGGTTCCGTCAGTATCGAGAATTTCAAAGAGCATTACTTATGCAGAGAGGTGTTACCCGTTCCCGTGCCGCGGAAGGGCTTGATGGGATCCATTCCGTATTACTCTTCCCCTCGAAGCCCAATCAATGGGGCCGGACGTATGTCCAGCTACAGCAGGTAATGCGCTGAATTGGGCATATTCAGGCCAGTCTAGAACATGCGGCTACTGTGGCCGGGGAAGCCCCGTGACGGGAATTTTGGGCTACCGCAGTTGCTTTGCGGCGGTCACACGGATTCTATACCGCTGGGGAGGATAAGGAGGGGCGTGTTATGTGCGCTGGGTGAGCTGTGACCGTTTTCTCGATTCTCGATCTTCGCCTGCGAGGTCGATGTTGGATAAGGGAGGAGACTAGGAGGGACTGGGACCGTCGATCGAATAGCGTTATTGCCGGGATGGTCGCTTCCTCCCTGCGAGACGGTGTCAAAGGTACGAATTTCGTGTTAGGGGGAAAGGTCGACGTTTCGGGGCGCTAGAAACTCGGACAGTGAGCGGCTAGCATCCCATTGTACGCTAAGCTGACAGGAGGGACTCGACCTGGTGGAGAGAGAGCAGGGGCGGCTGGGAGGTACTCTGGAGTCTGGATTAGCGGGACGGTTCACATACGCACCCCTCCCCAGCCCGTCAACGTGACACGACACAGGAAGGTTTCCATACCCCGGCACCATCTCGATGCGATCTCAAAATGACGTCAGAGGGCGCGTTGCTTTTCGTGGTGGTTTTCACACCTGGCCCCTCTGATGTGCTCTGAAGGTACGAATACTTGGATGCCGTGGTGCAGTCGGTAGGAGGAAGCGCCTTTGGGTGGATGCGATCGCCATGGAGTCCTGGCAGTCCCCTGATGTCCTTTAGATGTGCCTTGATAGTCGATATAAGGTAGCTTGTCGGAACAGACCGGCAAGGACTCTACTGATGAGGTTGGTCGAAGGAGAAGAATGCTAGTTATGCGGGTTCGATGATTGTACAAGAATGCACATTTGAGCACATGCACAAGCGGCGGAGGTGTCGCGTTGCGGATGGTAAATCTGATCTGGCATGGGAATTGGATGCGCACCTGAGGATTATGCTCCTGCAACAGAGTTCGAGCCCCCGTGTGAGAAGGAGGTATGGTGTCTTGAATCCATGATGCTGGTAATTCGAGAGTTGCATCGACCAGTGGTGCAAGGTGCTTGGTCGTGCTTGGTGCAAGGGGATGATGATGGGGAACGGGGAAGGAAAATACTGCAACTGAGGTAGGGGTGCCAGTAGAAAGAAGAGGAAGTGAAGTTGGGGGCTAATTGAAACCGTTTACTGCTTACCGTATCTTAAGGTAAGGTAACTTGAGGCTGCTGGGGGGTAGCAAGGGGGACCACGGGCTCGTTGTCCGATAGTAGAATCCCCCGTGGTATTTAGGTGAGGAGGAGCAAAACGGCAATTGAGGGATTTGGACGGGAAACGGCAAAAGTGCCTTGGAGAAAAACATGGTATTTTGGCAAGACAAGTGGGCAATCTCCCGTTGGCGTGCCTTCTGTCTGCTCATGGGTGTCCTATGCTCGCGCAAGGGGCGCGGGAAGGTGAGGATAAAGATTGGACCGTCGGGGAAGGAACTACGAACTAGTAGCTGCCAGCTGTGTTATCGCAGTGGTAACTTCCAGGCAGGCGGGCACACAGCAAGTGCAAGCCAAGCCCATCATCGTCGATCTGTTGTTGTTGGACCGCTCCCAGATATCCACGAGTACGTATCTGTAAGGTGCACTACCTAGAACTCCATGCTGATACTGCACCGCTGCCTTCCCTGCCGCGGGTTCCCTGACCAGTTGTCTGACGAACAATGTGATTTGCTGTCTCGCGACTGCCTTGCCGCTAAGATAAAACAAGCCAAAACCATGTCGTCCGGTCTGGGGAGTGGAAAGTTATGTGACTTGCGCCCAGCTGGAGCGGCGCCTTGTCTAATTCATCATCACGACCAACAACAGCTAGAGATGCCTTCTCCTGCCTGTCTTGTCTGAGTAGCGAGTTGGTCAAAATCTTGTTTTCACGGCACGACATTGTGGAAGAAAGAATTCCCCAGCTCGGCCCGTGGTGAGCAGAAAGTGAAATTGGCGGTGCCGCTGATGCTCAGACCATTCCATGAAGCTCCGCTTGTGACAGGTCAACCTTTCGCTGTCTCTCGGTCATTTTGAGATATCTTGCAGCAGTTCTCCCCATCGTCTCATGGTGTTGCTGGCCGCTCCCAAAACAGCAAGCCAGAAAGACCGAGGCTCGCGGCAAGAGACAATATACGCAACCTCACACAACCATAAGTTCAGCCTCATCTCGACTTGTTTCTCCTCGAACCTAAGAGATCGGATCGGAAAGCAAGTCTCTCTACTTCCGCAGTCTGCACTCCCTAGTCACACCGGACATTCTGCTCCTCTACGTGGTTGAAGTTGCCGCTGCCGTCGTCTCATCTCAGTCTTGGTCAACTCCTTTTGACTTGGTCACCCGTGACTTCCTACTTAACCTTGTCTATTGTGCACATTCAAGTACCTTGCGTTAACAGTTGCCGTCTCCATCTAGCCCGCCTCTCCGTCCAGCCAGACCTTCTGTAGTCTGTCCACATACTTGTGTAGTCTTTACCGCCGCCTCCCCGCCAGTAACATTCAACCGTAACCCGTCTGGCTCGTTACATTATTGGACAGGAAGACGGCAGCGGGGGCAGACAGATATCCCTGTCTTGTCTTCACTACCACGCTTACCGTGCAAGCTCTTCCGTCTTTCACGCTGGGCAATGTCACTTCCAGATCCAGCCAGTGTCTCTCCGTCTTCTGGCTGACTTGTGCATGCCCCTCTCCCCTCGCATAGACCCCCTCTGAACTTGCTCCGCTCTAGGTATTCTCACACACTCAACCGCGCCTCCTAGGAATCATTCAAAAGTACTTTCCCCCTTCGAGAATTGCTCATGTGTGTTGCTTGACTTTTCGTTTTCTCGCATTTTAAGCCAGAAGCGTTTCCGGATACTCACGTCTATTTTATTTCCATAACTCACATACACTTCCAAAGGCAATTCGAAAAGTAATATCAGAGCCACTACCGGAAAGCCTCGTACGCGTCCTTGCCTCCTGCACATCTATCGACAGGTGTTGTTATTGTTGTATATCCACCCTCCGGCGGCATCCTCAGCTTCACAGCAGCAGCGAACGAGAGACGAGAACGACGACCCGATCGACACTTGTGCGGATTTGCTACCTGCATTCCCCACGTGCGCCCGTCACTCGCGCACCCATCACCACGGCCATCTTTTGGTTTGAGCTTTCTCGCCCGGACTTGATTCCGAAGGAACTCGAAAAGCGGAAGGGTGACGCCTTTGGATAAACAAATGGAATAGGGCAACATCGCGGAGGATAAGAAAAGAGCATCGCCGAAATATTCAACTCTATAAGTGAGAAACCCTCCTACCAGAATGCTGTGCCGGGGAATATCGTGAACATCTCCCACTGGTCCTTGTCATCATACTTCCTCCCCCTTGCACCGAATAAGTTCCCCCGTTCTTGTACTACAGTACTGCCGCCTACGCCGTCTCCGGCATGGTTAATTGTGGAATTGGACACCCTTGGCACCGAAAGTCGACAATTCTAGAAGGGTGAACAAACGGAATGTGCATAGGCAAAAACGGCGAATGACGAAGGAGAATAAACATGGGCGGCCAGGATCGAGAAAAAAAACCAGATTCCTGTTCCGCTATTACTGTCGCCCCCCTAGCTGCATTCGCTGCCATTTACAGTACTCCGTACTGCGTACTTCTTGCTTCCTTGCAAGAAAAAAAAAAGGTCTCGCTAATGCCGTTGCCACATTGTTCAGGTTGCTCCGGATCCCATCCCAGCCCAGCCCAGAGAAGGCCCAGAAGCAGACGGGAAGAAGGAGACGCGGAAGCAGTACTTCGTACCTGAAGGCAGTCCACCCTTCCCCCAATGACAGGACAAAACGGAAAGAGAAGTGCGCTCACTCGCTGCCCACGCTTCCCACCTACCCCGCTGCGATTTTGCACTCACACGCCCTCGCGCCCACACATCCCACGCCCACCGTCCCACGTCCCATACGTCCCATACGTCCATACCTAGTCCACCGTCCACAGTCCACCGTCTACGACCAGCCCAAAGAATCCACGTCCCAGAACCAGGCCTAAGACCAGGACCGCCCCGCCGAACAGCCCCCTCCAGCGCGCAACAAATCCTTGAGCTCGCTCCCCCGCCGTCGCTGCATCTCTTTCAAATCCAGCCGACTCCCGCTCTCTTGTCGACTTCCCTACACACGTAGACCAGACGGAAAGCTGCCCATCACACACCTCACATACCGCACAACCTCCTCTTCGAATTCCCTCACCTCGTCAAATTCGAGCTGATCATCGAGCCTGTTTCTCGCTCATCACAGCAGAACCGTCACCAGAAGCATAATTTGACCCGTCGATCTCCCGGCTGTCATCTTTCTACTCCACCACCCCTCACCACTCTTTAATCCTCCCCGCCGCGCGACGACCAATTTCCATCCTCCTCCCCGATCGGCCTCCCTCTCTCTCTGCTTCTCCTCTCCAGCTGCTCAATCCGAAAATCCAATCCTTCTCGATCAGGTAGATCGATCATCACACGAAAATGGCCGAATTCGTTAGAGCACAAATTTTCGGTACTACCTTTGAGATCACCTCGAGGTACTCGGACTTGCAACCCGTTGGTATGGGAGCCTTCGGTCTCGTTTGGTTAGTCTGAGAAAATACCATCCATCGCATCGAATTATCGTTGCGACCATTCGTTCGTCTTTGCTGACACGTCTTTACGCTGCCAGCTCCGCCCGTGACCAACTTACCAACCAGAATGTCGCCGTCAAGAAGATTATGAAGCCCTTCAGCACTCCCGTTCTTGCCAAGCGAACATACCGTGAGCTCAAGCTGCTCAAGCACTTGAGACATGAGAACGTACGTTTGCCCCGGCCTTTGCTTGCCTCTCTATACGCACTCTGGTCGACATGCGCTGATATCCACCCAGGTCATCTCTCTCAGTGATATCTTCATTTCTCCCCTTGAGGACATCTACTTCGTCACAGAGCTTCTCGGCACCGACTTGCACAGATTGCTCACCTCCAGACCCCTCGAGAAGCAGTTCATCCAGTATTTCCTTTACCAAATCATGGTAAGTCCGCCCTTAACCGGAGTCTTCTCCGACAACCGAATTGACATGGTTTTGTAGCGAGGTCTGAAATACGTCCACTCTGCTGGTGTGGTTCACCGTGATTTGAAGCCTAGCAATATCCTCGTCAACGAGAACTGTGACCTGAAGATTTGCGACTTCGGTCTCGCCCGCATCCAGGACCCTCAGATGACAGGTTACGTCTCGACGAGATACTACCGTGCTCCTGAGATCATGCTCACGTGGCAAAAGTATGACGTTGAGGTCGATATCTGGAGTGCGGGATGCATTTTCGCCGAGATGCTGGAGGGCAAGCCTCTGTTCCCCGGCAAGGACCACGTCAACCAGTTCTCTATCATCACCGAGCTTCTGGGCACTCCTCCTGACGATGTCATCAACGGCATTGCCAGTGAGAACGTAAGTTGATGCAGAGCCGAAGAAATTATTGAATTATCTATTGACAAGGACAAAGACTCTTCGCTTCGTCAAGTCCCTGCCCAAGCGCGAAAGGCAACCCTTGAAGAACAAGTTCAAGAACGCCGACCCCTCCGCCATTGATCTCTTGGAGAGAATGCTGGTCTTTGATCCCAAGAAGCGGATAACGGCGACTGAGGCGCTCTCGCACGACTACCTTGCTCCCTACCATGACCCCTCTGACGAGCCCGTCTCCGAGGAGAAGTTTGACTGGAGTTTCAACGATGCTGATTTGCCCGTGGATACATGGAAGATCATGATGTAAGCCGCTGCCATTTGACTTGGTCGTGATATATGTGCTAATGAGGTTTTACTTGCAGGTACTCCGAAATACTCGACTACCACAACGTGGATGCATCCGCGCAACAGATGGAAGAGCAGTTTAACGCACAATAGATGAAGGGGTTCAGGGGCGGAGCGAGGATAAATAGGAGGCGAGAGGCTATGATACCACGCAAAACCAGAACGGCACGTGTTTCCAGTACATTCGCACGCAATCATGGTGTTCGGAAGAGGGGATCGGTTATTGTAACGTTGACAATGCAAAGGGCCAACAGTATACGCGATATAAAGGAATGGCATGCATCTTGGAGGTGTTTTTCTCTTTTTCATCATCTTGTTCCAACGAATTTTCCTTTTCCTGGGTCTCCGGGCTCTGTTAGAATAAAGTCCGCGGCATAGGGCATAGCGACGAGCTGACAATAGGCTTCAAGGCCCTGATAACGAGGACTTGCTTTACCAATCAGGATGACGTACGCTCTACAGGATACTTGAATATGGGACGTCCTATGCGCACTGGAGGCATGGATGAATACGGGCATATTAGCAGGAAAAGCCGCGGCAGATCGCAATCGATGAGAAAGAGAGCAAAAGACAACCATAGAAATCGGTTCAAAGGGACAGCCGAGGCTTGTGATCTACCTGTACCACAACCAAAGCAAACCAAATGATGATACCTGCCAAGGGGGGCACCCGGTGCAAAGGCGAATGTGGCTTGGGTTGTGTGGTTGTGTACGTACAGACCACCGCCACAGGACGTGTGGCTTCAGGGTTGCCTCAGCCACACACACACACACACACACACACACATTCTGTGTGGCTGACTTTTTGCCACGATCTGTCGGATTTGGGATCGTCACATGAGCAGAGCGGAACTGTTTTATGGTATGTTGGGTTGTAACGTTTGTCTGGACTACAAGGAATCGACTTCATGATAATCAGAAGTAGGTATAGGTGACCTGAGGTGAGGTGAGGTGAGATTCAAGAGGGGGGCGGGCGGCACAGTCAGGACGGTGTAGGTCACAGTAGGTGGTCCGAAGGGGAGGTGGTCCGAAGGGGAGGTGGTGGGGATGGTGATTTGACAGGACTCGGGAGGGGAGAGGAGAAATCCCATTCTCATGCAATGCATGACACGCTGGCGGTGCTTGAGGTTAAGTTGAGATGTACGGTATTTGGGGGTAGGGAGGTTGACGTGGTGTTTTTGCCTCTCCGACTTTTTGCGTTGCTTCGCTAAGGTGATCGGTCACAGGCATTTTGGGTTATCGGTAGGAGACTAGGAGTTGACTCCGGATGTTTTCAGCCTATACTAGTTATGGGCTGCCTTTTGTGATGTTGCTGGGGCAAACAGGTTTGTTGATTTGGGGGGGCTTGTGATCGTTGTTCATACCTTATTTCTCCTCACCATTCTTCTGTCGTCGTTGAACAGATGGACCTACAGGCAGTACACTGTACATGCCAATCCAGAACGAGGTCGTCCTCGAGAAGGGTGTAGCACGGGAAAGTGAAGAAACCAAAGTAGCGGAAAGACAACACGATTGTGACTAGTGAAGCCGTGAATCGTGATTGATAGGGACGTGCCATGTGGGATTGGTGGTGACGGATAGAAAAGGCGTGGTCGGTGCTTTTCTTTTCCTTTGGTGCATGGCACGCATGGTTGACGTGTCTGTGGTGGACCACACGACCGGACACACAGACGTTCGATGTCCGGCCCTTGACGCTAGACTGGTTGGAGGATGGGGTTTGGGAAGGGGTGTTAATGGTCTGGAGATAACGAGTGTGTACATGGTCTGCTTGGCTGGTGTTGTGTGCTTTTCTTGTTATTGTCAGTTATGAGGTTGTTGCTTTACAAGTGAAGACTGACGATGACTTCCATGGGACTCTGGGAGGGGTGTTCGATTGCTCTCCCCGCCGCGATATTGGCTTGTGAATCCCCCCCCCCCCCCCGGTCAAGACTAAGTGGCTATAGCAGAGTGTCAAAGAAGGATTCACGACGGTAATCGACTTCCAGCCGTTGAATATTTACCGCGTCGGCTGGTGCTGAGTGAAGATGTCTGTGTGTGCGTCACAGCGTGCATTTCAAAAAAAAAAAAAAAAAAAAAAAAAAAAAAAAAGTAACGTATCTTTGCCTTGAGACGGATATCTGAGTGGCATTTGTTCTCGAACCGGGGCCATGCGGGGTTACCGTAGGCGGCTTTTTCTCTGAGGTGTTGTTCCCTATTTTTATTCCCCCCTTCCCCCCCCATATTATTCTCGAACCTCGCTGGAATCTCGAACCCCTGAACCTGTCGTGCTTTTTTTCAATGTGGGACGAGTCGTTCGTTTTAATTGCAACCCATCCCCGACAATTGTCCTGTCTGGACCTTTGAACTTGACTCTATTTTCAAGGGGTCCCGTGTCCGCATAAGAACATTCTGATAAATCGCGGGCAGAAAGCAAAAACAGAAAAGCAAGATGAGCAAATGAGAATCGAGGAGTAGATGGCAAGGAAATTGCAATGAGAGTAGGAGGAGACTGGAAGTAGTAATAAAGTATTTTACTATACTTTTTTGCCGTAGTGCATTAGCACTAATTCCAACAACTCATCCACAAGCCCACTCTCCCGAACCCAGTCTCATTTTGTATCGTTGCCCGCCTCCGGTCCAATACAAAGCCTACCTTACCGCGAACCCACACCGCGAACATCCGTGCTGTGTGGGTGGGAAAGCATTCGAGTCTCCTCCCCTTAGCTCCTCGGTTTCCATCTTCCTTACTTTTACCCTCTTCCGCTCGTCGGTCTCCCACTCACGTCCTCCTTACCTTTAGCTTTTTCCACCGAAAGGAGGCGGCGAACTGTTCTCTCCGCCATTCGACACTTCGTATTAGCAGGCCCGACCGCTCATTCTTACGGCTACTACCAAACGTCCTTCCTGAGTCCCTAATTCGCCAGTGCAACTACGAGGCGGCGGTCGAATCACCGAGGCAAACTCCACAGCGGTACGACCCGATTTCCCAGCTCACAGTCCCACGTACGCCCATTCGCGCGCCCGCGACCGCGCTCTTTCGAGAGGGACAGAACTCGTCACCGCTTTCTGTGAGCTTCTGCGTGGCAACGCTAGAGGTAGCTTATCGGCCGATTTCGAGGAGGGACGAAAACGAAGGCGGTATAGAAGCTGTCCATCCTACATATTCCCACAACCGGGGAGAGTCACATTGCTCTGGACCTTCCTTGACGACCAATTTTTCGTATAGAAGACGATAACCGAAACCCGCCAATTGCTTGTTCTTGGAGACTCTGTGCAGATCAACTTTTCCCGGCGGCTTGTCTCACACTACCCCCCCTTTGAGTGGACGGGGAAATCTCGATACTACGTCAGAATAGAAATCCGCAACCCCTCCTCGACATTTTTTGGGGGTGTCGATTAGTTTACCACAAAGACGAACGTCACGCCCGCCCCGAGAGATTTCGACGCCGACGGAAGAGCTTCCCTCCCAACGCGTGGCTTTGCCAGCGAAGCGGCAAATCGCAGACCGAAAGGAAAAAAGGATTGACCTACGCAAGCAAAGCTTGCGACGAAACGTGCGACGGGGCCTGGTGAAAGAGAAGCAAAACAAAGACTAGGAATCGAGGAAATACATGGCAATGTCGTAGGAGTGGGCCTCGCTGCGCCAAAAAAGTCGAATTACGAACACAAATTGAGGGATTCGTGAAGGAATTGGGCGATTTTTCGAAGCAACCCAGGCCTAGTTTCTTACGCGAACGGCAAATTTGACGCATGTACACCCCTCGGCCGTAAAACACACCACCCAGACAGAGAGGCAGACACGATCAAAAGGAGGGAAACATGGATACGCCCGAGGTTGCGACGCCGACGTCCGGCGCCGCTACACCCTTGACTGTGCCGTCAACGCCGGCCAAGCCAGACTTTATTCCGCTGGTAACGGTTGTCGACTTCCACCATGCCCGCGGACCCGAAGTTGAGATGTGGTTTGGCGCGGCGGAGGGTACCGATCCGGCAGTTGAGTACGACTGGGGCTTGCTGCCCTTCATGGCGTTGAGCGATGGTGCGCATTTGTGAGTATCACCCCTATTCATCGTATCGCAGCTGGTGATTCGAAGCTCTGCTTAGAGCTCAGTCGCTACGTACTTCTCAGAGCAGGACCAGAAACTAATAACCGGAACCAGATCAAGCGAGGACTTCTCCTACTTTACGCTTCTCCGTCCGGCCACCGCCACGGGGCCTGCGACGTCCCTGTTCGGCATATCCTGCACACGACAGCTCGATGCCTCGCAGCTCCTGAATCGGCCCGCCGACGTCACGCGCTCGACGGTCCAGAAAGCCGTCGTCGTCATCGCCGACACGCCGCAGCACTTTGGCATGATGCGTGAGCGTCTCAGTGTCGTCACGCAGGCCTGGTTTGCGCAGCGCGAGTTCACCGACACGGAGATCCTGCGCCGCTTCCAGGAGAGTCTGGCTGAGGAGAAGGAGCGCGGGTTCTTGACGGAGGAGGAGAGCCGCGACCAGTACCTCGGCATGAGCTTGCGTGAGCTGGTGCACGAGTTCAAGTCGCAGACGCTGATGCTGTTCAAGTGTTGTTTATTGCAGCCAAAGGTGCGTTTTTCTGTGCTCAACTGGCAGACATCTCGAAGTGGGAGCTAACCAATGAGTGCAGATGCTCTTCTTCGGATCACGATGCGAAAGGTTATGCATGATGCAGTTTTCTCTTATTTCTCTGATACCCGGACTTATTCGTAATCTCGTCGACTGCGCCGATCCGGAGCTGAATAACTACGAGAAGAGGTTGGCGCGGCCCACAAGCTTGCGGACCAGCGATCGTAACTCTTTGCTCACTTACATGGGCTTGCCCCTGCAGATTTTCGGCAAGGTATGTTTGTTACTGTCCTAGCTGAGGACTTCCAACTGACGACATGAACAGGGCAGTCTGTTTGGCCCATATACCCCCCTGCAGCAACTTGACATTCTCGCCGACTTTGGCACCAAGTCATACATTGTTGGCAGCACAAACTCGCTCCTCCTGCAGCAGAGGGACCGCTACAGCGATATTCTAATTAATCTCGACGAGCACACTGTCAACGTTACCTCCTCCTCTCTCAAAAACGCTCTGGCGTTGTCGGCCGCAGACCGCCGCTGGATCGACTACATCACCCAAGTAGTTAATGACACTTGGGACGACGCCAACCCCCAGCGTCCAAACACCATGGGCTACGTCGGTAGCGAGGAGTTTATCCGGCTCCAGTTTGAAGAGTACATACTATCTCTCGTCTCCTCGGTGAAATACCGCAATCATCTCCACGCGAACCCGAACAACCCACGTGCGCTCCTCCCGCACATTGAAGGCGACCCCTCCCTCGATTACGGAAACGAATTCATCGAATACTGGTCCCGCACCGAAAACCACCGCATCTGGAACGGCAACACGGATTCCCACCTCTTCGACGTCGTCGAGCCACGGCACCCCTGTGCTGGCGGTCTCACGATTGACGACGTGCAGCGCCGCATCGCCCAGCAAGTCCAGGACATGCACCTAGACGAGCGTCTGGCCGTCGGCAAGGAAGTCCTTGGACGCAACTTTGCCGTGGGCAAGGAGAAGGCGTCCAACATGTTTAACAAATTCTATTCTGACCTGGAAGCGCTCCGCGAGGCGCAGAGGAAACGGGCTGAGGAGCAGCGTCTGGCTCAGGAAGCAGCTGCAGTGGAGGCCGAGAAGGCCGGCGCGCCCGCCGCCTCTGCTGCGTCAACGGAGGCGGGAGCCGCCAAGGCACCGGGGAACTCTGGCAAAGCCAGCTCGTACGTGAGTTCGTGGGTCACCTGGGCGGGCGAGAAGCGCAAGGCCGGGTGGGGTGGCGGCAGCGGTGGCGGGAACAGCACCGTGACGTCGCCGACGACGAGTACCAGCGGAGGCTACGGCTGGGGCCGCGGATGGGGCAAGTCCAAGACGGACGCCAGTAAGGCTGGTAACGGCGACAGGGACTCTGCCTCGATCTCAGGGTCGCGGATATCTACTTCGTCTGCGGGAACGGAGATCCATGATAAGAGGCCGCATGGGGAGAAGCATGATTTCCAGCCGCTGACGCAGGGGTCGTATACCGAGTCGATTCTCTCGACGGGGTCGATCGAGTCGGAGACGCCTGCTGGTCACGCGAGGCCAGAGTCAAAGGATGAGGTCGCGCCGCCCACCAAGGTGGTTGCCGAGACGGCTACCCCTGGGGCCGATGGCAAGTTGAATGGCGGGGATAACAGCACCGTTAGGACAGTGGCTTCTAAGGCTCATGGAGAGGAGAAGAAGGGAGAGTCTGCCCCGGCCTCGGCCGCGAGCGCTCTGCCGACCAAGACGCAACAGCCACAACAGCAGGAGAGCGATGAGGAGGAGGACGAAGTGGAGGAATCTAGGGCGACGGCGGCTGCTGCGGAAGCAGCGGCTGAAGCGGCCAAGGCCTGGGGTGACGATCGTCCATGAGGAAAAGAATCGCACCTATGAAGGAAGAATGAAAGCATGTTAGCAGGGCCGAGATGATAATGGGAATGATGGACGGGATGGAATTGGATGTGGAGAGAAATATCAACAACAGCAGCACAACACACACAAATTCCTGCAGAGAGAAGAAAGAATCATCACAGTACAGAGTGTACAGAAGTATCAGCATAGCGAAGCATTTGTTGGAAAGGGGGGGTCCGATTCCAGGGTTGGATTGGGTTGATGGATATATGGCGCGCATGAAGAAAACCTCAAATGGGGGGGGGGGGGGGGGGGGTTGTCCCCCCATTTTTTGTTTTCTGGTGTTTTGTTTTCGACCTGTAGCTTTTATCATTATATATTTACATGCGAAGAGATTGAGAAAGCTAGCTTCGTTTTACGGCCGTTGGTTGGGGCAGATGGATTTGAATTGGACCGGATCGATGCCCATGTACCGAGGAAAGACTGGACGGTACAGGTCAGAGCAGATGAGACCAATGAAGAAAGAAGTACGGTTCATAGTGGTTTGTGACCGAATTCTTTTTCATGTTCGTGACTTGAGCAAACGGAAAGGCGTAAGATGCTATTATTCTTTGCAAGTATGCCGGTAGTGGAAAGCACAAAAAGGCTGCTCCAACTTCTTGGAAGTCTAGGCAGCTTCGGATTCATTCTGAATATGAGAATTAGATTGACGTGTATGAGGATTGATCGACACTGACCAAAATTGGCGAGCCCTTAATGGAGGGGGGGGGCTAGGGAGACATGGATATTCTACCAGTACAGGTCGAAACCGGATCTGTCGAGACTATTTATTTCGTGAAGTGGAAGGCGATGATGTCCTCTGTCTTCTTCCTCATTCATTTGATTCCAGAAAATCGTAAGGGCAGCCATGTATTCTTGAGCTTCACTTTCGTTCTGGAGCATATCGCTTTACGGGGAGGGACTATAAGGTAACAATATAGTTTATACACTTATCCTAGCTCTTCTACATCTTGATCGCCCAGAAGCTTATTAGATTTGGAATATACTGGGGATGCTGAAGATTGGGAAAGAGTATGGTTTCGCAAGGTAGAGTTGCTCGAGGTAGGCTTACCCCAAGGTAGACCTAAAGTAAGACTGATATCACCATAAGAGCCAAGAGAACAAAGCTCATGTCTTGATTGCAGAGAACCAGATGCGGCTTACATGTACGGGCAGCGGTACGGATGGTCGCAGCTTTTCGCGATGGACCTGGACAAGCTTGTCGCCTGCATCAACAAGGAGGAGATCACGCTGGCCTCCGTTGGCGCCTTGCTGAACATCGAAGATATTGAAGGCATTAACGACGCCGGAGAGACCGTCCTTACTCCCAACTTGTACCTAGGATAGACAAGTTGCGATGAAGGGTGAGATAACGGGCTAGTGCCAACGCTGATCATACCAAGCGGTTAGCAGATCGAGAATGCAGGTTTTCGTTTGACTGAGGAATTGTTTTCTCTTCTTTAATTTACTTCATATGCGCGCTACTTCCTTGTGATTCCATGACGTTGTAAGCAACCAAATTAATCGCAGCGCAAATAGTGCACTTGGTTTCCTTTGCTTTGATGTAGATTTCGCGGGCGAAATGTTCAGCTGTGACCGCCCGAAATACAGTGTCAGAGCATGTCGCGGTGATGAGCCAACTTGGTGCGCTACCTTGCTTTCTTATATACACTTGGTGAAGTAGTTGCGGTGGCGGCGACGATGCCGAAGGTAACTCGTTCATAGTATGTAAGTCGACGTGTCCGTAATAACCAAGCTTGGCAATGAATGATGACCGGGCGCCCGAGCAGATGTTGAGAGGCGTCCGTATCAAGTCGTTGCGAATGGCAAGTACAAGGACGTTCTATCAAGATCGATCCATTACTTCATGACCGGTAGTAATTCTTTTTCACCAGATCATCCTCCCCCCGTGGCGGTATTTTCATCTTAGAATAAGCTGGTGAATCTGGGTGTTGGATAGTATCCATTTGAAGCTGCTCTTTACACTGGGGCTTTTTACTGCTCTGACTTGACCCAGTGGCCAGCCAACTTCGATGTCGTCGTGTGCCAGGACAGTGTACATCCCAGATTTACGCCTCAAACGGTTTCTGGGGAATCCTCATTCGAGAATGCGGTTGACAAAAGACATCAGTCGTCGACCTCAATGGTATGTGGGAGTATAAAGGCATGCCGCAAGGTCTGGAGGGAGGAAAACCCTCGACATACGCACGCTTCGGAGACTTAGTCTTTGGCCACCACAATATCAACGGACTCAACAGAAGTCACTTCCCCTCCATCATGAATCTTCTCTCTCATCTTTTGACATTGATGTGACGAAGGACTCATCAACATCCCAGCGGTGCGCATGACAAGCCACGTGGATTTCGTGTCCGTTCTGAACCACAAAAATGGCAGTAGCTTATTTCTTCCCCTTCGCCATATTCACCGCAAGCTTCGGCAACACAACAAACACTGACAGCTTCGAGAAGACAAATTTCCAGGTTAGCAAGGACTGGACCACTGAATAAAAGCAAAAAACTTCTTTCCCCCCCTGCTTAATTGCCTCAGTTACAATGCCCCAGAGTTTTCTATCCGAAATACTAAGCGTGTCGGATAGTGTCTGTACACGAGACCTCTTGAGATGAAGAACCTCACGTCTGCTTCGTTGTCTTCTTCACCAGGGGAATAAGCCGGTCAAACCTCCATGTATTCTTTTCTCGGCATCATTCTCATGGTTTCTCCTCCTTCAGTGATGTTTTCTTCTTCTTCTTCTTCTTCTTCTTCTTCTTCTTCTTCTTCTTCTTCTTCTTCTTCTTCTTCTTTTTCTTCTTCTTCTTCTTCTTATTCTTCTTTTTTCCTTTCAACAAGCATGGTGAAGCAAATGTCGGCTATGATCGAATTTGTAGAGAGAAGTTGCTGCGAGTGAAACATTTCAAAAAATCGCCTGTCATTTTTGAAAGCGAGTGTACGGGCTGTAGATGGAGATAAACTCCCTTGATGAAAGTCTCAGAGGTGTTTCCATGGCCTCAGATATGAAAGGGGGGCAGTCGAGGTCAGGGCTTTGAGTATCTTACACCGGAAGCTTCCATCTTGTATGCGAGGACTTACTCTAGGGGTGTAAAACTCTCCCCATGCCCGAACACGAGAGCTCCATGCTGCTCGAGATTATATTGTAGGAGTAGCCAAGGTTACAACCTATTTGGTTCCTCTTGGCTTAGTACAAGTATAAACGACATCACCATGAGATCTTGCTTGTCGTGACTATGGATATGGAGACCTTAGACGTGCTGAACATATCATCAAGACGAGAGCAGCTAGGCTCCAGTACCTGTCACCCTCCACTACTTCTCACTGCATCTTCAGCCGCATGGTCCAGCTTACGAGCAAATTTGCTGTCTCATGAGAATATTTGACCGGAGCTGGTTCACATACCGCAGGAATAACGTCCTTCTCCAAGAATGGAGTCTTGTTTCCTCAGCCGCAGCTCACTAGCAATGCAGCTGAGATGTCACATTCCGCATTCAACTGCCTCTCGCAATGGAAAGAACACCGCAGCGTCCCGCGCCTAAAGTCAAGCTTGGAGAGTTCAAGACATGTGTCAGCTGGCCGAACGACAAGACTTCGCGATGTTAGACCAAGTCAAAATCTAGAATACGCTCTCTCTTCGGCCGGATCCCCCTATCTCAGGGAATTCAGCCACACGTACATAGTGTGCATGCTCGTGTGACTAAGACATGTTAAGAAGTGGTACCGAGTTCCCGGAAACAACCAGTAGTGTGTGGCCATATCGCTCGTATAAGTTTTGCTAGCCTCTGCGTGGTTGAAGCATGAGACAGAAAACGGTCGACAGATACCCGTTGACTCAAAGGCGGAATCCTAAGAGCGGCTCCTCCGACCATTTGCCATCCTTGTGGGGCGTCTCGTCACTGGTATTCGGCATGATTCAGGTATTGGTTAGTAGATAGTATCTTGTATATAGGTAGTATATATATCATACATCTGATGCAAAGATCAGGTCTCATGACAAGTCTCAATCGCTCTTAAAAACAAAACACCTTGCCCTCCCACACTCGCTAACACTACGGCTGCACCTGTTTCCAAAGGGGCATTTCTACAACTTGGACTTGGGTCTCTGAACCGGCGTCGCCAAGGGGTCGTATACAGCACCCATAAGGTTATCCGATGGCGTAGAGCCGTGGTTGAACAGACTCCGCGTATCGATCAGTGACGGGTTGAGCTGGTCGATGCTCGTGCACCCAATGAGACGCATGTTCATCTCCATCTCATCGCGGAGCAGCTGCATGGCGCGGTCGACACCGTCGAAGCCATACCCAGCCATGGCGTACAGGAAAGGTCTACCGATACCGACACCCTTGGCACCCAGGCACAGCGCCTTGATGATGTCCGTTGCACGTCGAACACCGCCATCAATGTAAATCTCAATAGCGTTCTCCAAGCCCATGCGGCGCAACACCGGCATCGTCTCGGCCAGGACCTCGATTCCGGACCGGGCAAAGTCGAGCTGGCGACCACCGTGGTTGGAGAGCACTACACCCTGGACGCCGGCCTCAATGGCCTTGATGACGTCCTCGACGCGCTGCACACCCTTCAAGATGATGGGCATGTTGGTAATAGACTTGAACCAGGGGATATCCTTCCACGACAGGGCGGGGTCGATAAAGGACGAAATGGCGCGCGCGGCGCCCTGGCTCTGGTCCGTCGCCTGGCCCGACTGCACGTTGGCGCCCGGATCGGTAAACTTGGACCGCATATCCTTCTCGCGACGGCCCAGCTGCGGGGCGTCGACGGTGATGAAGAGGCCCTTGCAACCGCGCGCCTCGGCGTGCTGCACAATCTTCTTCGTGATGGCGCGGTCCTTGTTGACGTAGAGCTGCATCCACTGCACCTGGTCGCCCTCGGCGGCATCCATGAGCTCGTCAAAGGAGCACGAGGCCAGTGTCGGGATCATCTGGATGACGTTGTGCTTGCGGGAGGCGCGGGTGAGAAGGACCTCGCCCTCGGGGTGGCCCAGCTTGCCGAGGGCGGTGGCGGTGACGTAGAAAGGCATGTCGACCTTTGCGCCGAGCATGGTGGTGGTAAAGTCTACCTTTTCGACGTCGACGAGGATTTGCGGCCTGAACCAGATTCTGTGGAAGGCACCGTGGTTTTCGCGCAATGTCTACAGAAAAAGTGAGTTAGAAATCGCGCCTGGTCCTCGCTTAGATGCGAATTTTCGGCTTTGACTTACGATTTCGTCGTCGGCTGCACTCGAGTAGTATCCCCAAGCCGTCTTTTTCATGACTCTGCGCGCAACGGCCTCAAAGTCCATCAGGTTGTAGCATTGAGACAGCAGCGGCTTCTGCTCGACCCTCTCCAAACGCTCAACCTCTTCGGGGTCCTCCTCCTTCTCTTCAGCCACTACAGAGGTCATATCGACGGGGCCAAGGTGCTTGGACTGCTCAAGGTACTTGTCGAGGGTGTCGGGCGGGTGGATGGGGTCGAACTCTTCCGTCGCATCTTTGCCGGCGTACTTGAGGATGATTTTTGAGCCACCGGGGTGCTCTGAGGGTCATCGTTAGCAAAGACAGCAGTTGGGGGCCGTCGAAGAGTAACTCACCAGGCAAGAAGTCCGTCACATCGTAGGCTTTGCCCTGTTAGGTTGCCATTGTCAATTGCCTGCCAATTGACAGCAAATCAACTCCTAATCACAACTTACGTGAACAATGACCCAGCAAGAGTCGGCACTGTTGTGCTTTGCGATATCGTCGCCCTTCAAACCCATTTTGCCTGCTGTTTGCTGCGATTGTCGTGGTTCCGGACGAAGGGAAGAAAGTAAATTTGGAGATTATCGACAGGTTGGAAAATCCGGGGTAAAGACCGATAAAATAGGTAGATCTTTCTCCACGGGGTAGTGTTTGATTTATGGGTGGCTTGGTTGCTGGTCTAGTCGAATCCAATGTATTTCAAATCAGAGGGGACCGGGAATAGCACGTTCTACAAACACCAATGACGGTCAGAAGAAGAGTGGAAGAGAAGCCGAAGCAGATCTAGGGGCTGGAACCAAGAAGAGAAAAAGATGTATGTGTCGTCTCGCTAGTCAGTCCGAGAATCGGGACTCCAAAAAAAGTTCTACTAGGTGGGAAATGTTGGGGGAGGTATCTTCTTGAAGGGGGGGATTCAACTTGGAGAAAAGAGGTGGTTGCCGGGGGGCGAAACCCATCAAAGGTCATCAGCTCGCTCTTCATTGTACCGTCGCAGACTGCCGCGCCCCACAGTGGCTTCCGCGCAGCGCTAGCGGCCCATCTCGGGTCAATGGGGTGCGGGGTAATCTGTCGGTGACGTCCTCCACACTTGCGCTTCCTCGGTGTAAACTGCTACCGGTCTCCATCCCGGGCTATCCCCGAAACACAACCCGTGCCCACCCACCCGTTCGTGGACTGCGACAACCACACCAACCGCAATCTGCCCGTAAAGTGTGTCCGTTCCTCGCCGTCCCTTTCGGCTTGGAACCCGTTGCTGATACGGATACTCGCGGCTACACTTCCGAAGGAGGGTGCGGGATTGCCCCTTCTTTATCTCAACTACACACGTGTGTCTAGGTACGCCATTGAGCCGTCAACGTCAATTAAGTTTCAATCTAATCGTTCCTTTCGACCGGTACCATGAAGTCTATCCTGATGTGTTTCTATCGTCACCGATTCGCGTGCATTGGAAGTCACCACGCAACCTGCTTGCCAAAGTCTAGCTCTAAGGTAGCGGCAGACAAGCCCTCATACAGAGCCTCAACATCCACTGAGCTTCATAGCCATTTCCACACTTATCCCTTGACAGCAAGATCACCGCTAAAGACAAATTTCTCAACCTGTTAGCTACGACGGATTAACGTGCCGTATTCTGCTTCCAACAAAGTACTTGGTGGATTACCGCCTTGGGTATCATGGTCCCTATCTACACCTACGTCCTCAGCCGTATTCTCGTCCTCGTCTGCCTCATGATGATTCACGACCGTGCATGCACTATTCATTCATCCGCATTAGAGAGACGAGGCAAGCGCTCAAAAAGGTGAAGAACATCCTCAATCGCAAACTACGGTGATACGGTCTAGGGCCACGACGCATGGAGACACAATCTATGTCTAGTGATATGCATAACCATAAATGTTACTAGGAAAAAAGAAGCCAATCATTAGGACACACCATCTCGCTTTGTCCACATTTTTCACCAAAAGGGCTCGTACATCTCTATCAGCTCATGGGCCCAGGGTAATACTCTCTGCAGGGCCATCCCACAGTACATTTGCAACATGATTCTGCCCACTCCGACAAAGCGGTCAGATCTCAGATGCAACCAAGCGAGACCTGAAAACAGGAATTCTTCCCAAGGCCTCATTGGCTTGGGAGGCCCATAGCACCTAGCCCGAACTTCAAAGGCTGTAGGGGTCTATTGGACACCTGCGACTCTGAGGCCCAATCAGTACAATCTAATCGAGTCCAACTGCAGATGCAGGTCTTAGCTGTTGGGGGCTAAGTGCCTCGGTCGAACTTTTGATAGGGTCTTGGGATATTTCATCAACAACAGACGCAGTAGATGCAACCCAGGCTGCATGGAACTTCAGAAACGGACAGCTGCAGGAACTTCGACTTGAGGGGAGAACAGGGTAAAGGGGTTAGCATCCGACCATGCATTCTTTTCGCCCCAACATTATGCTATTAACACATCTTCTTTCTGAACTCTTTTTTTTTTTCAACCTTGTGACTTACAAATAGACATCCTTCACTGCGATATGACCGACTCCCGCCACTCTGACGGCGGTTGCCTCTCTGCCTTATGCTCTTGCTTCAAGAGACGAGAGAAGCCGCGCCATGACGTTTCCGGGTTTCCTGCGACTGGCGCGGACGCCCTACCAGCGTCAAAACCGGCTTATGATGGAATACCTGGGCCTACAGACCCCGAGATCGTGCGTCCTGACCCACTACTAAGCGTCTCACGCGCGACATCTTCTACTGGTAATGCGGATGACCCGTTACTCTTTCCTGTTTCCAAAGTTCCAGGACCATTTGCAATGGGCGGCTCTACTCCATCCATTGATTTATGGCAGGAAGCATACAAGAAGGTAGACGCGAAAACTCAGACATGGATCGCCAGTCTTCCTCTACCAGGCAATGCCCAAGATCCTGCAAGTGAACTGGCGGAGTTCGTTCGCGCTAGCGAAAAGAAAAACAAAGAAGAGGCGTTGAAGCTCAAATTCGGCGACCGGGAGATTTTGTGGAGGGATTATGCGAATAGAGTTGTCCCTGTGGTGACTGCAATTGGAGATATTTCTATCAACTTTGCCCCGACGCCCTCTATGGCCGTGTGGTCAGCTGTCAAGGTGCTTCTGATGGTATGTATTACAGCAAAGTATGAGCATACTTTTGTCGACACTATGATCTAATGATCTTGCAGGCCCACGTATCTGAGCGCGAGGATCTTGTGGCTATTATGGGATGTACCGATATAGTCCTCTGCCTCGTGAGGCGTGGTAGAGTGTACGAGGAGGTCTATATTGGTAACTCCATATCGCCTAGGCCGCCATATGAGGAAGATTTGATAACGAAGTTGGTTGAGGTATACGCGAAATGCTTGGAGTTTCTTGCTTTTGTCTACAAAGAGATGAAGCATGGTGATTTACGCCGATTCTTCGACGCGCTCGTCGACCCCGGTTATGGCGAAAACCGCTTATTAGCAGTGAAAGCACTTGAGCAGGAACTTGAGCTTGCAACTCGTCCTTGCAAGGCCAAAGCAGATTACAAGCATCGAAGACTACTTGAAAGTCTTGCAGGGCCGATTAAACGAACCGACAAGAATGTCATAGATATTCTTAAGGTACTTGATAAGCAGGAAAGAGACAAGGCTATGGAATACGTCAGTGACATTCCAGTCGGATCTCATCATAACGAGAAGGTCGAAAAAAGAACCAAAGGCACATGCGAATGGCTAGTCAGCCATTCTGCATTCCTTAAATGGGAAGACTCTGATTACACTTCGGTGCTTTGGTTGCAAGGTCTTAGTAAGTATCAAAGCTTGAAGGCTGTTATGTGTTGTTGATAACGCACTGACCACGGTTCTATTCTACAGTCGGTACAGGAAAATCGTTCCTATCTTCAAAAGTTATTGATCATTATCGAATTCACGACAAATTTGCTAGTCAATCTCCCAGCTTGCCCAACCTTGGCTTAGCCTTCTTCTACTGCAATAGCTCTGATCAGAATCGGCAAAGCATTCAATCCATTCTCCGAAGCTACATCCGACAACTAGGCGAGATGACCGGTCATCCTGAGGGCATTCATCAGACATTGTTCAATCTATACCAGAAGAAACGGATTCAAAGCGACATCACGCTCAAAGATTGCGAGACAGCTTTGGTCGAGATGATAGAGACTTATCCTCGAACTGTTATGATACTCGACGCCTTGGATGAGTGCAACAAAGACACGAGACGGCAGATTGTTGAGCTCTTCAAACGTCTAGTGGAGAAAACCAATAGTCATTTGAAAATATTCATCGCTAGCCGTCCAGAGCACGATATTGGTGACTATCTGAGGTCATTCCAAGAGCTAAGGGCGACGGTCACAATCAACACTTCTGATAATCAGGGCGACATCGAGAAGTTTGTCAATACAGAGGTGGATAACTTCACTGTGGATTGGAGCCCTGAAACTAAGCAGGATGTTAAAAAGAAGCTTACGGAGAAGAGCGCGGGAATGTGAGTTCTAGCTCACACACCATCCTTACCTACTTAAGCTGATTGGTACAAATTAGGTTCAGATGGACTTACCTGCAATGGGAACAGCTCAAGGAGTTTGACACCAATACCAGTGTCAAAGCCAAGCTTGAAGACCTTCCCGAAACTCTAACTAAAGCCTACGACGAGATTTACGATAAGTACAAACCTAAGAGCTTTGAGCTTTTCATGCTGCAGCGAGCGGTGAGATGGGTCCTGTGCGCCCGCCAGCCGTTCGACAGTTGTACGTTGCTGTCAGCTATTAGAGTGGAAAGCGAACAGATGCATGGAGACGACATGAAGGCTTTCGACAAGTCAGATCTCACCGAGAAAATGTTAGAAACTGTCTGCCGACATTTGATCGTGAGGGACCCAGATTTCAATGTCTGGAGGTATTCTCATGCATCGGTCAGAGAATACTTTGAAGATAAGAAGAAAGAGCCGTGGGTCAAAGACGCGCCAGCGGAGATAGCAATTGTCTTGATCAACTGCTTGAGGGATAGCTGCGCAGCTTACGGCTCCTACTGGCCACTCTCAGATGTTGAACCATCGTGGTTAAACGCAATCCTCCAGGAAAAACCAAGCACAGTAAACAATTGGTTAAGGGAAGCACAAGGAGCGGACCATGTCCGGCCTTTGAATCCTCGGCATCCACTTCAAGTGTACATTTACACGAATTGGCTCACACACATCCACGATCTTCCAGAACAAGATGGCAGAGCTGAAGACGTAGCCCTTGCTTTGAAACGATTCCTAGGTGAAGAACGTCCTCCGCATTCTTCGAGGGCGTATCAGGCATTTTGTAGCCGCGTCATGAAAGGTACTCGATGGAGCCCGCGTGGGTTTGTAGGGTCTCATATCATGCCAACTACCAACTTCGCCTTTGGCGTTGTGGTAATGGGTCTTCATCGGCTCCTGCCTGAGTGGTGGAACGAAGGCCTCGACCTTTCTTCGTTAAGAAATGAGAGCGGCTTGAGCCTGCTGCAAATTGCCACCTACTATGGCCACTACGACGTCTGTCAATTCCTAATCAGTCGGGATTGCGACGTCAACGCGTTTGTTGACGACCCTCCTCCACTGTGGATATCAGTAGAGCAGCACAAGATTAGTATCATAGAGTTGCTCCTCAGTAACGGTGCAAACATGGACTGCGTCTTCAGAAACCAAACTCTGGCTTGTCTGGCAGCGGACAATGGATCTGAGTACTGCACTGCTCTACTGGAGAAAGGCCTGGATCCCAACATGAAGTGTAATACCGATGATACCGGTTCTGGGGGGGACTGCAATTTCGGTTGTGCCCTGTCAAGGGCTGCTTATAAGGGCGATCTCGACACCATAAAAGCCCTGATTGGCAACGGAGCAGAAGTCAACCCGGAGAACCTCAAAGACAAGTATGGCAGCCCCTTGGCAGCTGCTGCATCGGCAGGAAAAGTGGACTGTGCTCGCATTTTGATTGAACACGGCGCTGAAGTCAATGCATACCTGGAGTTCGGAGACTATGGCAGTATTTTGGCTGCTGCAATTCTCGGGGTTTCATCGTCTCTTGTTATGATCAGGTTTCTTGTTGAAGAAGCAGGGGCAGATTTGGCCCAGCTGGGCTTTGTACGGCCCAGGAGATGGGAAGGGGAAACCTGGACAAAAAGGGAAAAGCGAAGCGAAAGCATCGACGGAGCAATGAGGCAAAGAATGAGATATGTGCGACGGCAACGCGAGATGGATGTGGCAGCGTATCTTATACAGGAGCTCCGGATGGAGAGGCAAGTGCTGGTCAGCCTCGGTGTTCTCCCAAGAGATTTACCACACGATATAGGTGCTACGGCTGACATGGACTATGAAGAGTTGGATGGGTATGATGGGTTTGCCGAGTGGGAGTGGAATAGGAGGCACAAAAGAGAGGGTTGGGCCAAGGTGATGATGACTGCTGCACGCGCTCGATCCCACGCAAGACCGATTTGAGCTGGTTTGTGGGTGGAATATTGAATCTCACTGGGTTTTCAGGCGCCACCTTTACCAAAGCTTCGACCTAAGAAGTTTTAGCGGTGGACGTCTAGCTGCGGGAGAACAAGTGAGGATAGCTAGGAGTAGTATAGTAGATGTAGTGAGTTTCGTCGTTTGTTGTGGGATAAACTTGGTTAGAAACTTACCGAAAGCTTCCTACGATCTACGTGGATCAGACTGGGGTGTAGTCCGGCGGTATGCTGGACAGCGCTTCAGTCGAACAGTATGTGACCATGGCTCCCCAGAGTAGATCATGAACCTTCCAAGTGTGCAAGCCAAAGTCACAGTTGACTTCTTATTCACCAAGGAAGCTCTTCAGTATAAAATCTCCTCCTCTCCATTTCTCTTGAAGAGCTCCCTGTGGCAAGCCAGGACCCAGCGACGCTAGGTAGATACTACAGCTTCTCAAGTACGCCCCTGCTCGTAGCACAATATATCGGCGACGCATGAAAACCTTGTTGGTGTATGCCTTACTTTCTGCTGTGTTTGTGGATGCAAATCACCTAGGACGGAGATGTATGTGTGCGAGTGACTAGCAACCGCAGCATTGGGCCTTAATCCCATTATATCCAAGAAAGGCGGACACACACACGAGACGACGACCACAACCAGACGAAAAAGCGCAAAAAGCTCGGCCCCTACAATGGGGAGCCTACGAAAGATCCGAGAAGACTCTTACCAGCCTCAGGTGTAACGATGCAAGGACTTTTACAAGTAAATGTATGGGACTCGAACCCGGGACCTAGGAGTACGGAGCTATTCAACCTAGGACATTCTACGCTACATCACAGGCCTTGGTGATAGAATATTATTCTTTTTCGAAACATAGAGTAGGGGATGATTCGGCGTGTCACGGGCCAGAGGGTTCAAAAGGTATGGCGGCGCAACTTTGGGCGGCTCCGACCCCTGACGACATCGCCGCCGTAGGCCATCTACCCGCCCAGGTATTACGCCACATAAGTAGTATAGCTATTGGTACGGCTAGACGGGTATATCCTTTCTTAGTGAAAGCTCTACGGGGTAGAAGCAACCTATAGATACATACATATATAGATATATATACTACTTAGTAACTAGTTGCGTCCTCAGGATCTCCTAGATATTCTCCTATAAATGGAACCACCCGATATAGGAAGACCAAAAACCGAAGAGAAGGCAAGTTCTGTCTTAAGATGTAGTACTTTTGTAGTCTCACTTTAGTCTTGCCTACCTTACCATCGGCCGTCGGTTACGATAGAGCTTCGAACAATTGCAATGGCCCAGCAAAACAAGGAGCTCCAGGAATGGCCGGCTAATGCTATAATAAAACCAGACTGCCGTGTGATTATTAATAGCCGCTGCAGGCTCATCCGCAGCGTCAATGCCTCATACAGAGAAGGTGAAAGAGGCAGGCACGTAAACAGTAAGCATGTAACCCAAACCATGAGCAGCCGGTGATATTGTGCCAGGCCGCCACATTCGAAACTCACAACCTCTCCCCGAAACCAGGTATCCAACCAGTCCATCACCGGGCCATATAAACTCCAGGCGCGTCTCGTACCCTCCACCTCTCAAGATCTTTAGGGGCGACCTCAGCAAGACCCGTAGACGAGACAGACCCCCTAATTCATAGCTTCACCCACTCACCCATTACCAGCTACCTTACCTTACCTCACTCATACTTAGGCAGGCACCATCCAGACCACACCTTCCCCCCCAAACACACAACAATCCCATATATACCCCCTCAACTCCATTCCAGTCACCAGTCAGCAGGCAGCCCCCCTTGGGAGGGTCAGGTCAGAACTCTTTTGCCTTTTGGGCCTTTTTGATAATTCTAAAAAGTGTTTACCCAGGGGTGGGAGGGTATACACCATTCTAGGAGCTCGAGGCGATGGGAGCATACACTATCTCGGCATCCGTCACATCAATGAGTGGGAGATTCTTTATGCAATTGTGGTCATTTGGTCTATTTATAAGCCGCTCACCACCACTCTCATTCGGCTTTCCCCCTTTCAACACGTCTTGCCAGTCTGTTGTACCTACTTGCAAGCTTCAACACACACGAGGCCTATTCAACCCATAAATTTTGCGGTGCCATCCTGCCTGGAACCAACACCCACTTGCTCGCATTATATTTAAGCAGCTACCAAATTCTCAGTTGCGTGCTTCGTTCGAAAGCTACCACCCCTTGAAGTGCTGTCTACGTGCTCAGCTTTCGATCCATCATAGTCTAACCAGTCCAGCCACTCTTATTTCCAGTTGTTCAAACCCGCCCAAGGATCGCCCCCTTGTTGAGGCTGAGCTGACCGGGGGTGCGCACTTGATGGGTAAGCGCTCTGGGGGTTTTGCTGTGGATAGCCTTGTTGCTGTTGCTGCTGTTGTTGATAATCCTGTTGACCGTAGAAAGTCTGCTGAGGGCCCAGTGGCGGAGGACCAGGAGGCGGAGGCGGCGGGACGAACCCAGCAGGCATTTGCTGCTGTTGTTGCTGTGGGTTAGGGAAACTGCCGTACTGCTGGTTCTGATTGAATGAGGTCTGCGTTGGCGGGGGCGAAGCTGGGCCTCGCAGGACAGTTGGACCGAACGTAGACTGGTGGGGAGGTGGTGATGTAGGGCCGGGCGTGCGGCCGTACTGACTCGGATTGTATGCAGGCTGGCCGTATGTGTTCCCCGGCTGAGGCGTGTAAGACTGCGAGGTAGGAGGGGCGGCGAAGCTCGGGTACTGCTGCTGGTTTGGAGGCGGAGACTGAGGAACTTGGTACTGACCCGAAAAGTTGGTCTGGGGGTATCGTGGGGTCGAGTTGTTGGCGAAATTCAAGGGCGACGGCGTTGGCCGATTCGAGGCAGGCTTGGGCGATGGCGCAGGAGGTTCCATGGACATGCGCTCCATCAAGCCCCTCAGACGCTCCCGCTCCAGCTCAGCATGTGCGTCTTTGCGGGTTGACCGCTCCTGCTCAATGCTATTGAGAAGCTGAGCTCCCTCCGACCGCCTGTTGTTGACAAACGTATCGACGTTCTTCTCGAGGCTTTGAACGGTTTCCTTCATCTCAGCATACCACGTCTTGGCACCTTGAAGACCAGCCTCCAGGTCGAGGAACTCCTGATATGCCCGTTTGTATTTGTTCATGACAGATGTTCTTTGGCGTTGCACTGTCTCGTACTTGCTCTGCTCCGATCGGACTCGCTTGTCCTGCAGCAGCGTGTTGAAGCTGGTCGTTAAGTCCTTCATGAGGGCTGACTGCTTGTGATTAGCCTGCAGCAACCTGTTCTGATACGGGCGGAACTTTTCCAACTCTGACTGGAAAAGCTGGTTCTCGTAGTTGGTTATCGACTTCTTGTTCAGAATCAAAATTTCAGAGATATCGTCGTTGTGAACCTGTGGATATTAGTACAATGTTCAGATTCCTGCAAGAACTCCCAAACGACAAACCTTTTCCTTGAGGTCTTTCAACACTTGGTTGCGTTCCCTCTTGATTAGGTTCAGCTTCTTCATGATCTCCTCCACTCTGTGGATTTGATCAACGACACTCGGGCCTCCTTCGTCAAAGTCGACATCTAGCAGGTTTGGCTCGTTGCCCAAGGGACTCGTAACATTGCTCGATTTCCCGCGCACCTTGCTGACGGCATGTTGAAACAGGGATTCGATACTTCCGTGGGTGGCTGCCGCCCTCATCTCCTCGAATTCGCCTTCATTCTGCCTTAATTTTGCTGCCAATTGGTTGTCGCTTCTCGCTGCCTCTTCCAACGCTTCTCGGTAGTTCCTGATATCGCTTCGCAGGGTCGACGTTAATCTCGAACTTGGTTGTTGGGTCCATTCGTTCTCGTATTTGGAACGCATCTTCTCGCACACACTTTCTTCCATATCCAGCTGTTTCGTGTTCTTATCCAGAGTGTTCACAATGATATCCTTGTCGGATCTCAAGATATCGAAAATGGCGGCGGGATCTTCATGCCCCGCAACGTCTTCGCACCAGGTCCTGAACTCTTCATCCGGCATAATTTCTTGATCGAAACCACCTTTGAGAACCTGCAGAGCACCAGGGAGCCTCAGGTAATCCAGACTTGCTGCCATTTCACTGTTCGCCGTGTCTACTCGTTCCGTCTCGGCTCTAATCAACTTGGCCTTCTCCTCGTCGTAGAGACTGGCCGATTCCGTCACAGCCAGGGGCACAATCTTGGAGAAAAGATCCGGCCCCGTAATGCGCTGAATATCTTGGCCGGCGTAGAGCTCGCTGACAGGGATTGGTTTCGACGCAGGAAGCTTCGGGACGGGTGGAAGGCTAGCCTCTGCGGGTACGGTTTGGTGGTAGATGAAATCGTTATCCTTGCTGAATTCCTTGAGCTTGTCCTGGACAGTCGACAGATGCCGTTTGCTAAAGTCGACTAAAAGCCCACCGGTCTCGGCGCCGAGGTTCGAGCTCGGGGGTACTGAGTTGGGGAAATTGGTGGCGATGCGGTTTGCCTCCTTGCCATGAGTCTCTGCAGCTTGGAGTCTAGCGACAGCAGTTCCATGTTGACCAGCTTCGTCGTCGGCGAGGGCTTGGTAGTACTGCGACATGGAGCTCAGGAGGTTGAATTTCACCTAGGTCTGTTAGCAAACGCCACGACACATGGCTGCAAACCACCCCCGACAGAAGTGGTGGAAGAGTCTGTGCTAGCAATCCTTACCTGAACCATGAGAAGCCAGACCTTCTCGAATATGGCTCTATTGAAGTTGTCCTGGACACCCTCAACAGCTTGCCCGTACAAGTATGCTGCCTGGCTGGAGAGCTTGGCCAGCAAGGCCACCTTCTTCTGATCCGCCACCTGCTTCTCTAAGAAAACCTCTTGAGCCTGTGCCAACATGATCGAGATGAGGGTCTTGACGGTTTCGCGGCTAAGATCGGACGAAGGTGCGTGGAGGAAGTTCTCGTTGATGTAAGTGAACATGCCGGCGGAGGCCTGGAAAGAGTGGTACGCGGCTTTGAGACCTGACTCCTCGGATCTCGTTTGGTGGGCGGCGTGGCATGATAGGACGGCGGAGATGTTGAATATTATGGAAGCCTTTTCGAAAGCAAGCGAGTATTGGGCCGTCGATTTGTGTGTAAAGGCATCGAACCTGCGAAGCGCTACATGTCAGTATGGTCCAACGGCGCGTTGGGCCGCGAGACACAGCAGGAGCCATGGAAAACGTACCAAGTGAAGGAGATCTTGATGTGTTGCTCATCGACAGGAAAGCGCAGGTCGAGGAGCTCGAGCTGGCCATAGTATCTGTAGAGCATATCGCGGCCCGAGGTGCTGTCCTTGCCGGCGCCTCTCACGTCTTGTCGTAGACGATTGAGGGTGGCGCACTCCTCAGCATAGCGCTCTGGATCATCGCCGTATGTATCCCTGATGTAGTCCTTCAGCGGGGTGACCCAGTCGATTTCGTTTGTAGCCTTGAGAGGCGAGGAGATCATGGGCGACTGCGTCATTTTGAAAAACGGCGACGAGGCCAGCTCCGGAGACGAGGTTTCGGCCCGGGGAATCGCGGGGATGTCGCGAGGGACAGTAAATCGCAGTCGGAGGGGTAGTTTGCTGTGATGGGCAGCCTCGTTCAAATGTCTTGATGATTGGGTGGCATACAGGGCCTCATCAGAGGTGGCCTTGGGAAGAAAAAGGTGACGGGCTGGAGGTGGACGGATGCAGCTCTCCGGTCAGGTCGCTGGGTAGGTTGCTAGTTGCTGGTTGCTGTCTGTCTTGCCGTGGCGGGCGGAGTGCGGGGTGGGGGCGGGCAGCGACGATTGAAGGAGCCCAGAATGGTGGCAGCTCAGTCGGGTGCAGTTGAGAGTCAGTGCACCCAAGCTCAATCGCGAGTACGTACTTCCGTCTCTCTGTCAGGTCAAAACCGTCAGGTACCCGATGGGATGGGAGTACGTGTCTTCGGTTGCTGGTGGACAGAGGCAGACCCGGTTTGTGGTGCTGCTGGCTGCTGGTTGATGGAGAAGGATGCCCGCCGTCGTCGTCGGGTAGTTGCTCTCGGCGGAGCTGGTGGCGCTGGCTGATGTGGGTTGCTGTTCTGCGGCCGGCCTTAAGTTTTGGTGCCTGTTCAGGATGAGGTGCAGATTGACAGAGGAATGTTGGTGTGGTAGTACGACAGTTTGCGACGAATTGTCTTGCAGAGGTGGCAACAATATCGTTGTGTTCTTCTCTCTTTCTCTCTGGCTATTGTTTGTGAAGAAATGTATCAGACTCGCGTTCTTGTGAGGTCATAATGCTGGGGGACGGTAATTTGGACAGAGGGCCTAAAGAGGAGCTTCTTGGGAAGGGCGGGGCAGCTTTCGTGTGTCCGACCGAGATGGCTCGGCGTCGTCAGGCGTCTCGTTTTCGTCTTCAAACACCCAAGGTAAACACCCCAGGTTGCGCCTCTGGCGGTGGCGGTACCGGATTGTCGGTGATATATGCTTGGTTGACGAAGCGCCCAGGCCTCGGAGAATGGAGGCAAGTAAACGTCTGCACCTTGGTCATTCGTCGCCGCCTTCTTGTTGCACTGCTCAGCTTAGCCTCGTGTGAGTGGTGTTGACGTTGGCGCATAACGTGTACCTCACGGCTACTGGGAGAGGGTACGTTGGGCTGTCTTACGTAGCCGCCAGGCAGTGAGAATTGTCCACCTCGAGCCGGGGATATTCCTGGCTTTTTGGCGGGGGCCGAGACGAGGGTGCGAACCGTCAGTCGCACTTGACTCACAAGCGAACTGTGAGGAGAGTACTCCGTAAGTACGGAGTAAACTCTCTATCCCTCTTTCATGACTTCTCTTTAGGCAACTCTTTACACTTCCACTGATTCAACCCAAATCACGGCACCTCACGCAGGGCGAATAGTGGTAGTTCTCCATGATCCGTCAGTCCACCAGACAGATCAGCCGTAGCCAAGCGCTCTCGACATACCCTCGATCGGGCATCTATCTAAACGCGCCTATCCCGACTCTTTGGTGCCGATATCACCAAGCAACGTCAAGCACCATGAGACCTCAAATCCACCTTTGGTTGGGGTCCCAATCATCTCACCATACATCAGGTTACCTCGCCTATCGCGTCGACATGCCCAGATGACCTATCCCTCATCTCTGGCGGGATCACAGTGAGACGTTGCCCAATGCAACTCTCCTCCGTCTCTCGCATGCTCCCTCACTCCACTCCCGATAGTTCGCTCCGAACAATTCGGCCAAGCTAACTCTCGCCTGGCCGTCTCGTGATATCCATGTGGTTCCGTTTCGTTCCACCTTGGCCAGACCGCACCGTCTGCTCATCACGGTACCATCGCTGCTTACATGTACGTCCCGATGTCTTTCTGCATGTAAGCACAGCTTCGCCGAAGAGCGGTGATCTGACAATCCAAGCGAGCGCGACGAATTCACGCGCACTTTCTTCCACTCAACCCAACAACCATACATCGGGATAGAGAAAACACACCATGGTCCTTCACCGCAGAGAAATGCAGCTCGACGATGCTATGCCCCTTCAATACCAGCAGAGCCCATCCGCAATCCCACTAACACCCACAAGCACACTTCACCTAAGCCTCGACAACCCACGTTTCCGCAACCACATTGGCTCCGGCCCTCATGCAGGTGACGGGCCACCCAATATCCCGTACCTTAGCTACCCCTCCGCCCGGGCCTCCCATTGGTCGCCGGCGGCCGGCGCTTCGTGGCCCCACTCTCAGGGACCCGAGCCAGGACCAGGTAACAGGCCCGAACGGCCCGCTCCTTGCAAGGGCCCCCGTCTTTCCACAACAGCCACCCGTTGCTTTCAGTTCCTTCTTGCGCGGCAAGACGCTGTGCTGTGTCTGCGGTCGAAATCAACCATACTTTTCCTTGCGCATCATGGCGCTCACATGGATTTCATGCGTCTCATCGTCTAGATCTTTAAGCGCCCCGCGTCACAACCAGGCGCCATCTCAGGTTTCGAACCTCTCCCGTTGCATGTCATTCTCAATGTCATCGATGAGAAGTGGTTATATACTTTCTTCATTGATTGGGTGTGGTCCTTTTATAAATAATCTGAGGTGAGTGGCCTCCGCGGGGAGCTGGCTTATCCTTCTTTCCTCCCCTCCTCTCCCCCTTTCTCTCCTCTCTTCTCTCTTCTCCTATGGTCTAATACTACACTGTACACTTTTCTAAGTCATGTGAATAATACAATCGAGCAAAGCAATGAGGCTTTCTCCATAAACCAAACAAACATGGGCTGGCAACCTCCCCTTCCCCTCTCTTTTCTGCCGACGAAACATCGGGGTTATAAAAGAACAAGATGAGAAGCCAGAAACAAAAACCTTTGTAAACACCTGCCATGCAAGATCCTCCAATACTTTCCGTTTCTTCTATGACCGAACCGGGAAGAAAGTTTCGCGTCTACACCGCCAAGGCCAGGCCGCGCAGGGAGGCCCGAGATATGGTACAAGGACTACTACTCAACTCCGGACTCAAAAGGATCAGCCAGAGTCCTACTTTGACTCGTCCTTCTTCTCGTCCGTCTTCTTCTCCGTTGTCGACTTGTCTGCTGCATCATCACCGGGCTTCTGGTGAGCTGGGTGGTTCGTCAGGGTGTGCCACATGGACTTGAGAAAGCCCTCGTTCTTGTGGGTCTCGGAGTCGTCGGGCGAAGCTGGCTGGGTTCTACTTTCGGGAATTAGTACAAAACGGGGCGTTCGAGGTGTCCTAGATCTAGGACTGTATAAGAGAGAAGAGAGAAAAGAGCCTGGCAACGGCAGCTCGCTCGCAAGGAAGGGGAAAAAAGAAGGAAAAAAAAACTCACCCCTGAGGAGTGACGTTCATAATCTTCCGCGCCGTCTTGTCTCCCATCTCGTTCGCCAGCATCTCCACCAGCGTACGCTGATTCGCGCTCAGGTACTTGGGCATATTCACCCGGAACTCCACCTTGAGGTCGCCGGAGCCGCCCCTTCTGCCGTTGAGCTTCTTCATGCCCATGCCGGAAAGCGTCAGCTTGTCGCCCGTGTTTGTTCCCGTCGCCACCTTGACATTGACCTGCCCATCAAGCGTCGGCACCGTGACCTCGCCACCGAGCATCGCCGTCGTGATGGGGATGCTGGCCGTGTACAAGATATCAGAACCCGCACGACGAAATTTCGGATCCGTCGCGACGCGCACAAAGACGTAGAGGTCGCCCTTTTGCGTCCGCATGTCAGCCTCGGCGTTCTTGCCCGTGACAGGCGCGTCGCCCGCGCCGTCGACGCGCAGCCGCATCCCATCCTCGATGCCGGCGGGGATATCGACCGTAATAGTCTTGCGCTCCCTCACGACGCCGTTGCCCGCACACGACCTGCACTCTGACCCGCGAGGGATCGTCGTGCCCGTCCCGCCGCAGCTCCCGCACGTCGAAGCCATCTGGAATCCGCCGTTCATGAAGTGCACCCGGGTGCCCGTTCCGTTGCACGACTTGCACGCCGACCTCTTTGTGCCCTGCTTGAGTCCGCTGCCTGTACACGTCCCGCACTCCGTCAGGGGCGTCACCGTGATCGTCTTGCTCGTTCCCTTGGCCGCTTCCATGAAGGATATGCTCGACTGCACCTCGATGTTGTCGCCCACCAGGATTTCCTGCTGGAAGGGGTTCTGTCCTCTACCGGCACCGCCGCCGCCGCGGCGTCCAAATCCTTGGCCGCCCGTGAAGGCGGAGAAGATGTCGTCAAAGTTGAAGCCGCCGGCGCCGCCGAAGCCTCCCTGCCCTCCGAACCCGCCGCCGAATGGGTTGCCAGCGCCTCCGAACGGGTCGCCGCCGCCGCTGGGGTCGAAGCCGGCAGCGCCGTACTGGTCGAATTGCTGCTTCTTCTTGGGGTCGGATAGGATCTCGTATGCGCTCTGGATCTCGCCAAACTTCTCCTTCGCTCCGGCATCCTTGTTCGTGTCGGGGTGGTATTTCTTTGCTAGGCCGTAGTATGCCTTCTTGATGTCGCCCGCAGATGCTGATTTGTCAACACCCAAGGTCTTGTAGGGGTCGCTCGGTGCGAGGGTGGTGGATGTCGCATGGAATGCCTGTAGAAGTGAATGTTCAGCAAGCTGTTTTGACACTCTAGCAAGCAGTATGACTTACACGTTTGGATGAGGGAGCTCGAGATGTCACCCGGGAAGCTAGAGGCTTCGTGGGTCTAACTGTACAAGTGACGGTGTGGATTCGGGCGCGTTTGCAGACAGAGTCCTTGAGCTTGGATTGCCTAGAAATACGGCTGGACAGCAGACGGCCCGGGGCCGCTGCCTTTGTAAGAATGCTTGCATTCATTGTGAAGCTTGTCGAATCATCTGAAAGCAGTGTGTCGTAGATTTTAGGGGGTTAAATTAGACCTGAGGATGCGGAAAAAGCATCAACGTCCAAGTGGAACTCTCCCGCAAATTCTTTGCCCTTCGATGCCATTGAAGACGGGATGATATCAACTTTTTTTTTGGCCCGATGCTAAGCCGAAAGACGGTGATTGCCTCAGGCACCTGCAGCAAGAAGGGCGTGAGTGAGTGCAGGGGGTCCGGGGGTAATTTGGGTACGTAAAATGGGGGTAACTGCTGCACCTCAAGCTTCACGTCAGCAATTGGGATGGCTCTAAGTGGCTCGCGAACACGCCCCACAGCCCACAGGTGGAAATTCGCGACTACTTCTGGGGATGCGCGTTGTACAGTGCATGAAAGCCTTCGGTGCGCCGGGCCTCGGAGGAGCAGCCGTAGGAAATCAAGGCGCGCAGTGTTCGAATAATTGCAGATTTCTGGAAAACTCTCCCGATCCAAAACTCCATATATCATTACTGTGATAGATCATGGCTATGTGGAAATAAAAGATAAAGATAGTAAAAAAATTAAGACAAAGGTGGTTTTGCCTTTGTCGTCTATCGTCGTGGGGGCTTCCTGCCCACGGTAAGGTATCATTATGCAGTCCGAAATCGCCCAAACGGCCGGCGTGGCTCTATGCTCCGGTGACACAAGTGCACCCGTCAACCAACTTCTTTCGATGCGTGTAAATCCCAAATAAAAGTCATTCCGTCATTAAGGTCTTTAAGCGTCGTGCGATTTCGAATTCGATCGTCGGTGGCGGTCGCTTTTGGTTATGGCCTGGCTCCTTACTTTGTGAATAAAGTCGACAATGACATCGTTTTCTTGTATTCCGACACCGTTGAAGTGTTTCCGCACCGTCATCGCTAGTTGTTCCTTGCTCTGCCGTCTATTCTCCTTCTTTCGAGCCATCGTTGGGGAGTGTAGGCCAATTCCGCCAGGTCGCGAAAGAACCAATTGACGATACGAGCACGAGAAAGAGGTAGGAGTATTGAGGTGATGCTCGCGACGGTATGCATGGAGTGTGTCTCGCTCAAAGGTTTTCCATTGAATCTGGAAATGACAGTGTTAGCCGGTAGGTTTACGAGGCTGGGATGCTGCCTATGTGGGTATGGTGAGGTTGAAGGAGTGAGGTGCATTCTTACGCCTGGATTTTGAGCAGCCTCCTTGGCCGTGGTGGGAGCATCAGCAGGAGCGTTGGCATTTGTAACTTCTCGCAATTGAGAACCCGTCGAGCTGGCCACACGACGAAGCTTGCCGTTCGAGTGACCACCAGAACCAGACGTGTGCTTCTCTTTGGTGTTTGTGTTCTCGGACTTTGTGTCATCGTGAGCGACCTTTGAAGATTTGGGTGCCATGACGGTGGTAGGAATGGAATAAGGATTTGCCGAGACTGTCGGAGCTGATTTGGTACAGGTCGCAGGAACTGGAGAGAGAGGTAGAGAGGCGTGCCTTGGTATCACATCGTACTCGAGAATGAAGACTGGGGAGAAAACGGTGTGAGGGGGGGGAAGAGAGGCAGGGTCGGGGCGGGAGAGTGAAAGCGTGGATGCGTGGACGAGAAGGGGATTTTTTCTCACGTCATGGCACCAAACAGCCGGCGGCGCCTCTGTTGGTTGCTGGTTGCCCAGGGCCTTGCCTGCCTCGAGGAGCGAGCTGCGGGGCGGCCACTGGCGGCATGGCGGAATTCGGGGTCTGGCGTGAACTCTGAACGGCGAGCACTGGACGGCTGGAGAGGTTGTGCCTGGAAAAGTTGGGCCCCGTTGCTGGCGTCAATGTGGTGCGACATCGGTACGTATACGAAAGTGGTGCTTGAAATGCCATCCCCGACATTCACCTCAGGCTGATCTGCTTACCTAAGTGGAGGTACGGAGTACATATGTACCTAAGTCGGCTCCGGAGCAAATTTTCAGCTCCAGCCTAATTGGGATAGCGCAGTGGTGGACCCTCCTCGGTGTGAAGTTCCATCGGCCCCTCATTGTTTTTCCGCGCGGTCCCAGTTCATGGCGTCTATCCCACTCCGTCCTTTCATTAGCAAACACATTCTGCTACTTCGGACTCGTGGAAATCAGACGCTCTCCAACAATATCAAACCTCGAGGCAAACTCAGTAGCTTCGACTTTCATCATCTGCTACGGATGAATAACATGGAAGCAATGCTCTCGATTCACTATGCTATCTTCAGCCGCAAGCCAGTGACTAGCATGCCACGTACCGACGAGTAGAACGGAGACTTGGATTGACAAGTTGCCAAATCCAGATTCAGCGTATCAAGCTTTCGATTGGACAGACTCCAGTCCGCCAGAACACAGTACCTATCCAGCAGAGCTTGAGAATTAAGGCCGTTGTACGCCCATGGATTGACGTCTGCTTGCACGGGGAAATCCCCATTGACAAACTCAACCCCAATTTCTCCACATCGAGGGAGGCCGAGTCTTGGCTGCACGAACACATCAGCCGCGCCAGCAAGCAACAAGGGAGGTTCTCCTTCATTCTTGGCCTCCTGATCGAGCCAGCTTGCCAGGGCATTTCAAGACCTCCAGGGCTCCCGGCCATACAGATACCCGAGTCACAGTACGGCCCGCGAGATGTGCCCGTCGAAACTGTGTCTGGGTTCCCATCCCCCACGCTGTACGAAACACTAGGTGTGGCTGGCCCGGTAGCTTGGGCTACCATCTCGCACGTAATTGAGTCTTTGCACGAGGGTCATCCCACGTCGAGACGTAGGTGGACCAAGAGACCCCCAAACTTTCTTTCGACGCCAGACTTGGGAGCCCCACGACGTTCTATCTGCTCTACCTGTTCCTCAACTAATATCGAAACTAACTGCACAGGCCAGACAAGAAGGAATACTGTCTGCTTTGAGGCCTCGAAATTTCGCCGAGTCATCTGACTGAGGCGCCCCGGTCGTGCCAAAGGCTTCGAGAAGGGGGGCTGGCTACCCAATCGATACATGATCGGGCATCCTCATTCGAACACGCATCGGCGTGCGGATTGGTCAGGTGTCAAACCTGTCTACAGCTCCAACCCGCAAGGACATGCGCAAGTGGCACGCTTTCGATAAGAAACCTGTACCTTCACGACCCTTTGCCCGCCGTAGGCGCCATAAAGATCTACCAACGCTATTGCCTCGCAAAACATTGATGGAATGACTACACGAATCGTCCAGAGAACGAACCTCAACTCCAAAACCACCACAGAAAACCATCAACTTGCTGTTCGTTGAATATACTTCCGAATTGTGGCTTACTAGGGAGATCATTTAGTTGTTACCCTCCCCCTTGAGGGGCCACTGCTTGCGAAGGAGCCCTTGTCCCTGCCGAAGCTCACCGTGGGTGGAGCCGACGGTCTGTGGTTTTCCTCCAACAGGTGCTGACCGACGATCAGCTAAATATCCCTGCAACCACCTCCACCACAACTTTTTGCGAGTCGCCTCGGCCCTAGGCTGAAGTACAGTTCTACATGACGTCTATTATCGACAACATCTAGTCGGCAACTTGCACGCCGAATTTCCTTGACCAACCTTCTCTACCTCAGATTCTCTACGTCAGATGCCATCAGAACCTGCCTAGAGAGAGTCCTTCAGAAATTAGCTGGGGCGCTGCCATTTCAAACTAGTTGTTTCGCTACGTGACTGCGAGGGTGAAGAGAAAACCCACCATTCGCAGCTGAAGATACATAGATATTGGTCACCAAGGTACAGGGTACCAGGGTGGTGAGTCCGAAGACCTACGTCGTTTTTGGATCGAATATCTCTTCCTAACCCCCAATCTGTTGACCGAAGCACTGCAACTTGAGCCCATTCGACTGCCGGCAGCGATGGAAGAAGGGCGTGGATGGTTGCTCACAGGCAAATTTAGGCTGTCAGCGTCACGACGAAGAGGGTCGTGTGCTGCCTTTCCGATTCTAGGGTCTATACCAGATTGGGAACCCATTACGAGATGAGAACAGCCAAGGAATTGGGAGTGCATCAACGGGGATGGCCGGTATACCGACTGAGACTCCGGAAATGCTCTTTCGAACGTATCCGTCTGCCTCGACACCTGGACTATGCCGACTTGGAAGATTCACCCACGCCCCACCCGACAATGCGGTATTTGTTCCTGATGTGCCTCACGCATCTCAGCCTCAGAGCGTGGGGTTGATAAATGGCACAAGATCGACAACGACAGGGCATCCGCCTTTGGGTGAATTCAAGCGCGTATGATGGGCGGCTAGCTTGGCCTTTGAAGTGTCACAGCATGGTTATTTCCGAGCTTCATTAGTGAGTGCTGCAGCTTCGGTCTGACAGCAACAGCTTAGACGCGATAAGCGGGTAGATTGTAGGTCTGGCGCGACCTACCACGACCATAACCACATGTAAGATTAACGGTGACAGGTGATTGACAGGCAATTTGCAGCAATATTGTGCTGCTTGTGTGGCGCACATTTGCCTCTCTTCTGCGTCTTCCTCGACGCTCAGCATGTATTCTCTCACATTGTCTTACTTCCTGTCAACACAACACCACCCTCGAGCGGAGCAATCTTGCAGCTCTTACGACCATTGACGCCGACGCACCACAGAGCGGCAAAGAGTTATGAAGCAAATTACGTGGGCAATTACACTAACAAGAACGATCTCTGGCAAAATTTTGACAGTGCCGTCTGTGGGTAGCTAACCAACTAATAATGCACACGCTGGTTGGCAAAGGCTGGCAGGAATAAACCCCCAAAAAGAAGCTTGAGAAGTCTAGGTGACACCGGCGGCCGATCCACGCAACCATGTCGATTGGCCGGGGGTATGGCGCCCCGGGAGAGTGAAGCCCACTGTCCAAGCTCCAGACCGTGCCCATCCCCACACGTCTCGTCTTCTCCAAGTGAGCTACGGATCCGCACACCGGCCATCCCTGCAGAAGCTAGCCACGCCAGTCACGGACGGCATGGGCATGCTTGTCGTAAGGCGAGCGAGGAGAACTTGGGGGATCTTTGGGGGTCTCTGGGGGTCTCTGGGCGGGGACCCTCTAGCTCAAAGGGGCCAGTCAATGTTTGCTGTGCTCGTCCAGTTGATGGTCGTACGACAACAGAGACCACCACTTGGAAATGTCATGAGAGCAACCTCTCAGCTTGACCCGCCCCGTTACCTCGCTACTCGGAACTATGTGGAGCTATTGTGAGGACAAAACGTCACAGTTTCTTCGTTGACCATGGCTCAACATAGCGGCTTGCCGACCGATATCCGTCAACCGAAAAGACGAGGTGAGCAATGTTGCGAATTGGGGGTGAGTTCCTGACCCGATTTACTTATGGCTTAGTCTTTTTCATTAACCACGCCAACCAGATCGATCTCCGCTCCCTGGGAAAAAGCAGGTCAGAGGTGTCAAGATTTCTCACCCGACAAAATGTATACATGGATTACAACCAAAGCCAGCCGTGCCCGGTAGTTCTGGGCATGTTCAGTTGCATTTTCCTCGGCTAGCACTATAGCGACGGCTGTTGGAGCGGGATTTTGCGGCCAACCAGGCTCTTGGGCTCATTGCACTTTTCCCTCTGCCTCTCTCTCCCTCTCTCTCCGTGTACTCATTCCGAGGACGTACGGGAGCATGGTGCGGCTGCCTCGGACGGATACCGTACTCTTTCTTCCATGACGGCAAATGACGAGGCGCAGGAACGCACATGCACAGGTGGTCACTTGTCAACTTTTTTTGGTCGGGTTCTCGCGAACGGTACCGAAGACCAGCCGGATGCTCCCTCTGCTTACACGGCCTGTTGCCCTTGTTCAAGTTCCGATATTGTCCTGCACCACACTTTGAGCGAGGGCCGTTCCCTCGGCGCGTCTATCCTGCTCGGGGCGAGGTACGCAGTACCATGGCAATCATTACATGCACGGGATATACGGTATGAGTGCCTGGCCGCATCATCTTTCAAGCTCCCCCCCTCTCCGAGTGCACCCTCAAAGACCTTTCTGTAATAGACTGTGTCAAGGAAGGGTCGCAAAAGGGGAGTCACCCAAGAAGCATTCCAACCGCAACATGCCATGTTAATTATTCCCGGTACGGAGTACTTTGTACGGTTATTCGAAGGCGCACTAATGAAGGACCCCTCCCCAATGGCGTGGCCCACCACACCTTTTTTGCATGGTACGGCTCTACCGTCAATGTCTGCTCCTATGGGAGTGTACAGCTTAGCATCTGCTTGGTCAAGGTCATCTGGGTTCTGCGCATCGCATCGCATCGCATCGCCGGCGGGCCTCACACCTTGGCTACACCCTGGGTTCACCGATGGCCGGGTTTGGCTGAAAGGGTGGAGGGGGGAAAAGGGGGGCACGGGGGGGGTAGAACCCGCACACTCTGCCTGCCTGCCTGCCTGCCCTGCCCTGCCCTGCACAGCATGGAAGCAAAGAGGGGGGGGAGCTTACCTTACCTTGGATGCTTGGAGGGAGTCGAGAGGCAAGAGAGACTGGGACTGAGAGAGAGAGAGAAAGTGGGAGTGGGAGGTGGCATAAGACCCCCCACACTCCCACTCTGCGCTCTCCATCCGTCTGCCCAGATGGTCAAACGCTTTTTTTCCAATTCAACCCACTTCCCCAGGACTTTGCCGCCATTATCCATACCTACTAACGCGGTGGGCCAGCATCAGCACCAAACACCAAACACAAGCACCACCCACGCACCACCATTCCAGTCGATATTACCTATCGAGTACCTACCTACCTTACCTTGCGGATAACCCAGACATTGGATTTGCCATCCATCCATCCCCGAGGCCCAAATCTTCAACGGCAGCAAACATCTTTCTGCCCTGTCATCCGAGCTTCGAGAAGAAAGGCGACATTGTTTCCTGCCTT